AACCCTTGAACCATTCTTTACCAAAGAAAAGTGGGACTGATCGTCCCATTATTAGACCCCCTAATGTTAAAAAAGCAAACATTTTCAATGGAGTGATTCGACCCCACTACCCCCAGATTATGAGTCGAGCACCCTAACCATGACAGGCCCTAGTACTGCGAGTACTATGAAATATAGTATATTAATTGGTAAGAATTTTGCTTGCGTAGACATACTTTCAGTTGCGTAATACTAAAAAAAGCTTGCTCAACATAGCAACATTTATAATAGGGGTGGCGCGATACAGCGATACGATACGATACATAAATCGTATCGTGAAGCCGTGATACGATTGTATCGATACGTTGTCCAACACGATACGATACGATTTATGTATCTTCACGAAATTTGGCAAGCTTTCAGTAAACATTATAAGTCTTTTTGTACAGAAAAAAAATAGAATTTCTAATAAATTTCGATATTTTTTTTTATAAATCTTCATATTTTTATCTGCTATATTCACTACCCTAATTTTATGCGAAGTCGGTCAGTTTGACAAGCCTCGTAACCACCATAAATAATACAAAATATATTAAAATTGTCCTGTTTTTCTTTCTAGAATTACTTCAAATTGTAGCAGGACAATGTCAGTAATATAGATAATAAATTACAGACAAGACTGTCAAGCTTTGTAACAAACCGTTGGTAAAACTTTTGTATTTAGAAAAATATCGTTTGTTTTTGTTTTAATTTCGTCGCAAAGCTACACGAGCGCTACCTACGCTAGCCGTCCCTAATTTAGCAGTGTAAGACTTGAGGGAAGGCAGCTAGTTATCACCACCCACGACCAACTCATGGGACACTTTTTTGCCAACGAATAGTGGAATTGACCGTCACTTTATAACGCCCCCACGGCTGAAAGGGCGAGCATGTTTGGTGTGACGGGGATTCGAACCCGCGACCCTCAGATTGCGAGTCGAGCGTCCTAACCACCTGGCCATGCCGGGCTTGGAAACATATCGTCTCACGACATCAATATCTAGATTCGAATCGTATCAATTACCAGTATGACAGAAACACCATGAAAACTGTAATGTAATTCAATGTATGCTCGAGGTGTATGATAAAAATATATATTTAAAAAATTCCTTTGTGTCGAGTCTCTCTCTTGTATACAGGCTAGT